ATACTATTTAAATCTATTTTTTGTTGTAAATTTGATATTAAAAGTATTTTATTAATATGGATGCTAGTAATATTATCAAAACATAAAGAAATATCTGGACATAGTGTGTTTTTTGTGAATTATTATCAATAATACTACTACCACCAACCCCATTATCAGCAATTTCTGGTGGTTCTTCCACCCTATTAATTGATAAATTTAAAAATACACATGAGCAGACTAATAAATGCTTAAAAACTTACGTGTCTCTTGACGCTAGAAGGATATTACTAATAAGTTGAGCCTTTTCCAAGTGTTCTTTGGCCTTTTCCCTTTTTTCACTTAAAAGTTTACGATTGTGTCCACTTGTTGACGGCACAGAAGAAACCTGAGTTCGAGGTAAATTTTGAGTAGGCACAGCATCATCTTTCAGTCCACGATAACGTTTAGGGCTGTAGTTTAAGAGTTTGTGTTTTAAATTAAAGTGGTAGTCACTGTCCAGAAAATGTTTAGAGCAAACAGAAGCGCGCTTAACGTTAATTTAGTCTCTTCTTTTCGTTGCATGTATCCACTTTTTGCACAAACTTATGTTTTTCGGAAATCGATGGTATTTAATGTCTTTATTTGTAGGGTTTTTCTTGGACTGGTTGTCCGAAATGCATCCAAATATGGCACAACGCATTTTAATAAATGCAAATGGCACAACACAAACTAATACACAAACAAAACAGGTTAACACAAAGCAATAACAATAATTTAAACACTGAAAAGTAATTCTAACCTTACAGAATGCAAAAACAACAAGTTAAACAAAAAAACAGAGCAATTTAACATCTAACAGCTTCGCAAAAACCAGAATTTTAGCGGCAGATAATTAAAACGAACGTTAGAGATTTAAAACTACTCATCAAGTGACGTCATGTGACGTATTTTAGCTCCGCCCACCATGCGCACCATCCTATCTTATGCATATACTTACTGTGGTAAGTATATGATCTTATGTTGTATGTATCTTGGACCCCACGAGTTGCTCCCCTCTGAATCAGAGGTTGGGTATCTACCTACATTTTTGTTTTCGACATGTAGAAAACCTTTTTCGACGTTTTCGACGGTAGAAAACGTAAAAAAGTAGAATACTGTCAAATATCAAAAAATGTGAGGTTATGCAAGTTTGTTGTTTATTATGATTTGTTAAATGTTGTGAAAAATCAGACACCTACCATAAATTTGAAGTTATTTGGAGTTTTTTAACATTATTATGGTGGGAAAAAAAGGGCCACGTTTGGTTGGGAGACCCCAACATAATTTTTGGCATGAGGGCAAATTTTTATCAATTATAGAGAAGTGGAAGGAGAAGATCGAATAAGGTAATTAACGTAGGTAGAAAACCCTATAGGTTTTCGACGCAAGTCGAAAACAAGTTTTCTACCCTTTTCTACCAAGGTAAATTACCTAAGGTTTTCTACTGACCCAACCCTGCCTCTGATATACCCATAACCAACAAAATTTACAAAGTTACTGGTGCCATCATAAAGGTACATTGATAATATCAATTTGATATTGTTATTTATATACCAAAAAGCTTTATAACAATAACAAATGATCATAGATATATGTATGCAAGTGATGTATTCTTATTCTATGGTTGACTTCTAAGGAGTGATTTTGACAGTTTAAAAATATATTCAGAGATGAAAGCAGTAACAGTTGGTCAGTTTAGGATTGGTTTGTGACATGGCCATGAAATGGTTCTTCAGGGCAACACTAATACATGTCAGCGTCGTCAACCCGTCCTTTTGAAACATTCTAAATTTAGAAATAATATAATTAATATATTAGATGACCTTTTTAAAATTAATTTGATGAGTAAGCATTTAATATGTATTTTAAATATGTGGATACCTAACTAATATTGTATGTTTTCAGTACTTCCAGAGGATGCCGAAAGTCAAAACTGGTTGAGATAATTAATAAATAAAAATATCCATGTGGCCAAAAGCAAAAAATTCACGTGGCCTAATTGTTGGAACCAGTATATCATCAGTTTATCCCACCTATAGTGAGTGAGAGAAAGGGGAGAAACATACAAGAAGGATAGTAAAGTATAGTATGTGACACAGGTGTGAAACAGAATTGGCAAAACTGGAAACATGACCCCTAAGGGCGGCCGCACATTTGCTACTTTTAGATCCGATTGTCTGAAACGATTGTCGGATCCGACTATCTGACGCTGTACCGCACACTACCGACAAAATACTTACCATCTTGATCTTATTTGAGTTTTGGAATTCGGTGTAACACGTCGAAAAGGAAATGGAGGACGACGAATTTTTGGCTATTGCTTTTCTACTGTCACAACGGAGAAAAAAAAGAAAACGTCGCTACTGGATACACTCGTTAAATACGCAAAGAATTCAACAAAGTCAGTTTTACATTTTGCATCCTAAGTTACGTGCTTATCCGGAGAAATTTTTCGATTATTATCGAATGTCAATTACTTCTTTCAATGAACTTCTTAATTTAATTCGGGAAGATATAACGAAAAAGGACACACATATGAGACTTGCAATTTCTGCAGAAGAACGATTAGCTGTCACTCTCAGGTAAAACATTTATTATCATACTAATTTCAAAAAGTCAAATATTCATGCATAACATCATCAGCTGTCACTGTCAGGTAAGAATTTTATTATCATACTACTATCATACTAATTTCTAAAAGTCAAATATTCATGCATAACATCATTATTAGCACACCCTAACGTACTATTTTCTGATGGTAGTGGTGGTGGTAGTGCTGATGATGGTGGTTGCTGTTGTGATCGTGGTTGATACAATGATGCAGACCCAACGGTACTAGGTCCTGGATTAGGTGGCATCAGTACTGTATATGTGGCATGTTCTGTTTTACGACCAATATTAAACCGATTGACGTGTGAAGGACTCGGAGGACTCGGAGAGTATATAATCTGAGGGCTTTGTGAGCTGTAGCCGTGCGACGATAGCGAGGAATGAACATTTCGTGGCGGTTCGCAAATTTCTTTTATTAGCTGTAACATCCCAATTTTGAAATCCAATTTCTGAGTTCTGTTCATTGCTTTCATGTCGCTTCGGAAACTTAACAAAAACTTTGTATCGTCATCATCATCTATAGGTTGTTCTTTTCTCTGTTTCATTATATCAAGTATTTGCGTTGGCACATCTTTCTTAGCAATCTTCTTCTTTTTAGCTTTAGTAGGTATTTCTTCCGTGGTATAGTCTTCAAAAATTGGGTTTTGACTATTTTCTTCTTGTGTAGTCCCATCTTTTGAAGTTCCTTCGCCTCCGTCGTCGTAATTGCCCGCGTGACTGAAAAATTCACATTAACTTGAATCGACACACGATGCATTTATAAAACATTAAAAAAAAATATGTATTATTGTATTTACCACCGACTCTGCATAATGGGAGCTAGAAATGTTAGAAGGTCGGTGTAAACATATTTCTTCGGTTTTTTAGCACCCGACCCTGTTGGAGTTTGTTTCACTTTATTGATATCTCTCCGGTAACAATCACGTACGTTGTTCCATTTCTTTTTTATCTCGGCACCTGAAATTAAAAAGTTTTTATTGTACTTACTTATAAAACTACGCGTGTATTACTTATGTACCTATAATTGAATGATAGGTATCTACCTATACATACTTATTTATTTTTCAGATTCCTTGCCACAGGTAAGAACTTTGAAATGCTCAAATATGATTTCTTAATGGGAAGCAGAACCGTGTCTAGCATCGTGAATGATACGTGTGAAGCAATATGGAGAGTTTTAAAACCGTTGGAATTGCAACCTCCATCATCAAAAGAACGATGGGAAGAAATAGCAGAGAATTTTAATAACAAAGCTAATTTTCCAAATTGCCTAGGCGCAGTAGACGGAAAACACTTGCGACTGATTTGTCCATTGCACAGTGGTTCCAACTATTATAACTATAAGACATATTTTTCTATAGTTCTGTTGGCTGTTGTTGATGCCGACTATCGTTTTATTGCAATTGATGTGGGTGCATATGGGAGAGAAAGTGACAGTAACATCTTTAATGACTGGACCTTTGGGAAAAAACTTGCTAGAAATGAGCTGAATTTGCCTAGACCGAAAGCATTGCCGAATACAGATAATCCATCGCTGCCATATGTATTTTTGGGCGACGAAGCTTTCGCTCTAAATACAAATTTTCTGAGGCCTTACCCGAGAAACAATTTAAACGAACACCGTCGAGTTTTTAACTATAGGCTGAGTCGGGCCCGGCGTCTTGTAGAGTGTACATTTGGAATCCTTTCAAACAAGTGGAGGATCTTTCATACTAGTATGACAATTCCACCAGATTTTGCAGTACTGGTAACAAAAACAGCTTGCGTACTACATAATTTTGTACGCGCAAGAGATGGGTATAACTTTGAGGATTCTCTTAAAGCCGGGTCTACAATTGTCGCAGAACGCAGATCGCAGAACGTAAGCATGCGCAAAGCACCCAGCGACGTTGCGATGGAGCAAGGTCACACGTCGCAGAAAATTAATTCATCTTCAATAACGTCTATCGCAGGTTTTTATGTTAGCCAATCATAGAGCGCTAGAATCTATCTGTCTCTGTGCTCTCTTTCTTTCAATAATCAATACTTTTATTTAGTTCCTTTTCCTATTTCGCGGTTATTTTTAAATTTTTGGTGTAATTCTCAGAAATTATTCGAAAAACGTAATTGTCCAAATTTAAAATAATTTTCAATATTTTCTAAAGACCATTTAAATAAATGTAGGTATGTATATTCTTATTACTATTGAATATTCATACCTATATTGATTTAAATAGGTAGTTTTTAGGAAATATCGAAAATCATTTAGAATTTTCAAATTTTGATCAAAATAATTATTTAAAATTTTAAATAATATTAACTAATTCTATGATAATCTAAACAATTTTTCCAATCCAATATTGGAAATATTTGTTTACCAAAAGTATTATGATATCATTATTATCGATAATCAAGGTAATTTTTGTTTTAAAATTAATTTATTTTATCAGGTAAAATACTAATTCTTACTTAGGTATATTAAATTTGCTAAAATTACCTCGAAATTCTGGGTTAACCCATTGGTATAATTATAATATATAATTAAATTATTATACCTATTTAATAGGTAAAAAGCGAAGAGTATATTTAATAATCTTTGGTATGTGTTAACATTAATTGTGTTTATGCTCTGATAGTAAAAAAATATTTAAAAATAACGATCATGGCCGGCTATTCATGGACGAAAGAGAATATTCTTGAGTTAATAAGATTAGTGAAAGTTAATCCAGTGCTCTATGCAAAAAAGGAAAAGGGTTACAAAGATCAACAGAGAAAAAACCAAACCTGGGAATCGCTAGGGCTGTGCGTTCACCCTCCCTGTTCCGGTAAGTTTACTCATATTTTTTTAGCGACTTACTTGGTGGTAGAAAAACAATATACAGTAATTTAAAAAAGGGTTTTTTTATTTACAATCTATAATTTTTCAAAATTTTTAATTTTTGTATTCTTATAGGTATTGAGGCATCAAAAAGGTTTAAAAATTTGAGGGACACCTTTTGTCGAGAAAGAAAGAAGCTTGTTACCTCAGAACCACGATCCGGAGCGGGAGCTGATGAAGCCTACTACGTAACAGACTGGGAGTGGTATGTCGAGCTCCAGTTCTTGAGCGAGCACATCTCCGGTCGAACGTAAGTAATTTGATTTTAATACTTTATTATTTATTATTACAACTTTCCATACATACACATTACTTATAACATTTTTCTATGATTTGCATGATTTCATAACTTACTAATATTTTTAAAATTGATTTAAATTTTACATAATTTTTTAATATTTCTTTATTATTAATATTGAATTGCAAGAATTGAAAAAGAAAAAGTTAAGATTATAGAAAAAATATTGCTTTCAAGAATATTAATAAAATGTCAGAAATCTTTTAAATTATCTGGGAAATTTTTCAAACATTTTGAGAAATTTTTTAAAGTTTATTTTTAAAAATTATATATTATTTATTATGCCAATTTAATTCTTATGAAATTTTAGAACAACTAGCAATATGTCTCGAAAACAAGTTTCGACGCCTTTGCTGGAACAACCGGTGACTGTTGAAATGCCAGGCAGTGCCCTTTTGAAAGCGGACGCACTATCTCCTGTGGCCCTTCGAAAGCCGGGGGAATCAACACAATCTCCATCTGTGGCCCTGGGCGATTCATCACAATCACCTTCAGCGGGAACTGCAGACGGCGATTGGGCAAGTGGAAGTACAGAAAATGAGGACTCCAGTCAGTCTTCGTTTAGCGATACTTCTATTTTATCGACTCCCCAAAGTTCAACGCCAATATGCATCCGAGGAAAGGCTGCTAAGCGACTTTTGAGTTCTCGTGCTCCCCCTGCTGATCTTCCTAAAAAGGCAAGAAAGGTGGATGACCTCTCGCTAAATCTAGCCAAGTTGACTGCCTCAGCAGAAGCAGTGGCCCAGTCCATAGCTGCAAGTTCTTCGCCTGCATCTTCAGATGGCGATGTGGCAGGAATGATTAAGTTTGCCCTAAGCAATGTAGAAAAAAAACATAAATTATCGTGTATGATTGACATGCTTAAAGTGGCGCAAATTTATCAAAATGGACAAATTCCAAAAATTACTCCTGATTTGTAAATAAAGTATATAGTTGTTTAAAAATGACTTTTAATTTCAAATGCAATTTACAATTATAAGAAAAAACCATTAAGAACAGTTAAAATCCCAAACTCTAAATCTGGAGTGCCCAGGAAAATATTTGACTGGTGTTGAAAAATGTTAAATTAAAATGTAGTTTTTTTATTAAAAAAATAGGCTATTTAAATAGTTTATTGAAGGACATGTCCAAAGTGGATGTCACTTTTTTTAGATTCCAGGTCTAAGTTTTGGTATTGCTTGTATTTTTGAAATAATTTGGTAGTTTGGTTTTCTAGTACAATTTGTTTTAGGTAAAATAGCATGCAATACAAAAACTTACAAATATTGACATCATGCAGGACGTCTTCTGGAGCATTTATGACAATCCCTCTGAGAGCGCGTTCATACTGCCAAGGTGCCTGGCTTTCCCCTACATCACTCAAAAAATATTCTCTTAAGGCATTACGCTGATCCGTAGATGTTTTGGAAGAATTATTTGCGCCCAATCTACCAATATCCTGCATATTTCCGCCTCCTCGGACGTTTTCTGCACGCCACCGCCCTTCGACAACTTCATGATTTATATTTTCATGATCAATAAAGTCAGGGGGACAGTAATTTCCTTGAACAAGTCCCTCTGCCATAAGGAAATTGTGCAGACAAACGAGAGCGTTCACTACGGAGGTGGCGTTGTCAGGACTACAACAGATGGTACTATTTAAAATTTGCCACCTGACCAATAAAATTCCAAATACATTTTCGATTATTCTTCGTGCCCTTGAGAGGCGATAATTAAAAATACGCTCAGCATCTCCCAAATCCTTCTTAGCATATGGGCGCATCATATATTTTTTTAAGGGGAAAGCTTCATCACCCACAAAAGCATTGTGTGTTACAATATTACTTTGGGGTAAATTTGTGGGAGGAGGCAAATCAACTTCATCATTCTCCAACTGTTGTCCTAATTCGGACCTATGCCAGACCCCCGAATCGCTCAAGGAGCCTGCAAATAAAAAAAAAATTTCAAAGATTGAAAATTAAAATTATTTACCTATTGTTTGTCAAAATCATAGTTTAAAAGTGCAAAAAATCTGCAAAATATTTTAAATTTCATTTTGATTCTCACCGTATTGGCCAATGTCGACCCACGTAAATCGATATCGTGCGTCGCATGATGCCAGAAGAACTATACTAAAGAACTTTTTGTAGCAGAAATAATCGGAACCAGAGTTTGGCGGGGCTTGGATTTTTATATGCTTTCCATCAATGGCACCAAGACAATTTGGAAATTGCCATAAGTCCATAAACTCATGGGAAACTGCTGACCATTGTGGCCCTGTCATCTCGGGAAGATACATGGGTTGCAAAGCTTTCCAGAAAGCCTGGCAAACTTTTGGAATTATTTTATAGGCTGTTGATCGGCCGATGCGATAATTCCATGATTGTGAGCGTACACTGTCACCATGAGCAAGATACCTATAAGAAAATAAAATGTTAACATTATTTTTAATAGTGAAATATCCAGATCGCGAAGAATTTTTAACATTGAAATTTAGAACTTGTGAGTGTTTAAATGATCAATTCAAAGGAAGAAAATAAAAATAGAAATATTCAAATTTAAATTCTGATTTTCAAAATTGCTCACCACAATTGGTTGTTAAATTCACTATTATAGCATATTAAAGAACTAATGTCAAGCAACAAAGGAGCAAGCATATTGTTCTATAAACACAGTACAATATGCTTAGGGTATACAAATAGAAAAATAAAATATTATATTATCTTGAAAATTAAAAATGTGTACCTACTCAAAATTATAAATGTGGAATTTTAATGTTATTAAAAAAAATCAAGTACATCAAGTTTGTGAAATTTTCACAGTATACTGTGAAAATTATATACCTATAGGTATATTATGATTTGCACAATAACGAAAGTGTTTGAAGTTTAAACATGATCCTGCTATTAATTATTAAGATACACAACAAACTTTGAAGATTTCTAAAATTTTAAGAAATGTGGAAAATTTTCAGTTTTTAAATTTTAGGAAACTTAGTAGGTACGTATTTTAGAAATACTGAAAATCCTGATTTTGATCAAAAATGTGTATTTCTAAAAATGTTATTTTATAAAACTAATTATAAATAAACAAATATATAGAAAATTTGTGCAAAAAGATTAAGAAATTTTCACTTACGTCAATGTCAAAGCCACTTTTAATTCAATTGACAGTGGTTTTCGTCGACTGTTACATTTAAGAAAAGGTGTGACAAGTTCCACCAATTGATCAAATTTTTGAGGACACATTCTAGTGTATTCAAAGAATTCCTCATGGTCTTGCTCCTTCATGTACTTAAACAAGTTATCGAAATGTCCATGAATCTGTCGTGAACGATTAATTGGCCTTACCCACCATCTCCTAAAAAAAAAAAATGGTAATTAGTAGACCCTCGTAAGTTTGACATTTAGATGGAATGGCAAAAATTATGTAATACCTACCACATTTCATTTTTATACAATGCTAGTCTTTAAAAAATCCAACATTTTTCATGAAAATATATATATATATATATAAGTATATATTATAAAAAGGCATCTTATATTAAAGTGTGTTGCCAAAGTGGCCAACTAGATTAAAGTTTACAAGTTTGGTAACCCACTTTAGCAACTGCCTATAACATTCTGTCCTCCAATACAACAAAATTATATTACTTAAAATTACCTTTTTATAAATTAAGTATCTGCTTTTTATTTAAAAATTTAACTTGTAGAAAAAGATTAAACCTTATGACAAATACTTTGTGACAATTGAAAAATATATTAGGTACATTTTGTTGTTCTAGAGATTCATTTTTGTAATTCAAATAAATAGGCAACATTTTTTTTAACTGGTATCCCACCCTGCTTAAAATACCCCATAGAGACCTATACAAAATAATCTATCGGGCTCTACCAGATTCAATATGTGCATTTGTCCATGGTTTTTTCCGGATACGGCCCGATAGAAAATGTATAGGAAATTACCTATAGGCACACCATAACTTTTACATTTTCCCTATTGAGACCGATAGCAAATAACTCAATGAAGGATATATAGGGATATCCCTATAGAGCAACCATAAAACATTTGTCAAAATTTTATTAAAACCTATAGGGTTCTATGGGGGAAAAACTAATTTCTACATTTATGTGTATTTTCCCCATTGAAACCAATAGCAAATAAATCAAGGGTGGATATCCCTATAGAACAACCATAAATCCCAACTATGGCTCCTATACATACCGATACACCCTATAGAAACACCATACATTCCGATACAAATATCTATCGGTTTGAACAGGGTCTCTATGGGGTATTTTAAGCAGGGCAGTTTTTCAAAGGCATCTAACATTTTTTGCACATTTAATTACCTCGTATTCCTGCGTGAACGGAGATACAATATTGCATGTAAATTTGCAGTAGCGGCATTAAGAATTGCACTGTAAGCCACAAGCAAATCCCGTTGTTTAGGCAACATAATAAATGGATAATCACTAATAATCACTAATCAATAATTCGTAAACACTACCAAAGAACACTACACTCGAAAACAAATACTAAAGACATAAAAATAAAAACTGTTGATATATGTGAAACACAGATTATAAAGGTTGGTGTGAAATACTCAACCCAGTGTCACCAACACTTAACTTTTTATTCCCTAAAAATTTGCATTTTTTCATTTATATTATATATATAATATAAAAATATAATTATATATAAACTCTTAAACATTTTTTACCTAAAAATAAACCCCAAGCAGTTTTTTAGAGATAGGGATCCATCCATATCTCTGTTTTTTTTCACTAAATTTAGGGGAAACACTTCTACGTTGGCCACACTGTGGTTATAAAGAAAACAATTGCTCTGATTGGTCAATAAAAGCACATCGCGCGACAATTGTAGACAGCTCACATAACAACGACGTGTGACCTTGCTCCATCGCAACGTCGCTGGGTGCTTTGCGCATGCTTACGTTCTGCGATCTGCGTTCTGCGACAATTGTAGACCCGGCTTTACTCATTATTTTGAAGATAATCCATTTCGATGTCCTCAACACAGATCTACCAAGGTCGAAATGTAAGAGACAATTTTTTAGAGTACTTTGTTTCAGAGGCTGGGGAAATACCTTGGCAATATAGGCGCATAAATAACTAAGCCGCTATACTAAATATGTACTAATAATATAAATAAACATTATTTTACTTACATTTCTTCTTTTTCTCCTCGTCACTTGTACTGTCCCAATCCTTCATTACTTCCAAACACACTTGTTCCCAGGCAAGATCTTTTAAATCGCGATCATGATAAGATTCGTGGCTAACATTCCACAAACACGGACATTTTTCGACCGAGATAATTAAATTTTCGGTATCGCACATGTTTGTGTGTCACAGACACCCCAAAATCCACCTGCTTTCGCGCCAAACCTGACAAAATAATCGGATGTTTGCGGCCCAGCATAAGAGAACTATGCATAGCGCGCCGTCCGGCAGTCTGCTCAGGTTTTTTATCGGACCTACTAGTAGGATGCACAGTAGGGTGGAGTGAATTTTATTAAATTTATTAATTGATTTTTCCTATATTATTAATTGTTGACTAAAGGCGTAATATAAATAAATATCGAAAAAATATTCCAATTTTTTAATATCTTGAGGTGGCGCATCAGTCTCGAAGTTTTGAAAATTCTAAAAAAATATTACTTTAATCAAAGTAATAAAAATAGCATTATTTATAAATAAAAAATTTATTTTAGTAAAATTAACGTGAAACGTAAACATATTTAATAGTAAATCATATGCTTTAAGTAACTCCAGGAGTGTTTATTGGTAGAAATGAGATCTTCTTTTTGGCGAAAATACTGACATTTGGTATAAAAATTTGGTAATTATTTTCTGACTTTCATTCTTGTTCTGATGAAACCATCTCTTGCTTCCGATCCACAAACCGAGTCTGAAGATTCAGTATACTGGTTATAACCAGTTTTACACAGCGTTCCACTGCTTGGGTGTGACACGGAAATTTTTGGAAGTATAGGAAATGGTCACCCGAAGAAATCATATCGGTAATTTCTGTCATCGTATTTCATAGTCATAGGTGGTTCAGTTACCTTTTCTGTCGCCCAGTGAATTAACTCGTAAAAATGTAATGCTTCAGTATTTAGTTGTGGAAGCTTTAATTCCCGTAATCTCGAACATTTTGATTCTTTTCTCGCCTTTAATATTTTCGGCAATGCTAGTTCTCTGATCGATAGATATATTGTAAGTAACATAGCTAGTAATAGGTTTTCGGGATAAATATTACCTATAGCTTACAAAGATCCAGGCAAGCTAGCACATTCCCTATGGCTGACGTGGGCTAATAGGATTATTCGTTTATATGGGGGGACAAAAAATCCATCGGAAAACCTAAAAGAATTGGCTACTTTTATCATGAAAGTGTATGCCCCAATGTGGTTTTACATCAACACCAAGCCTACGTGCAAACATGGTCCTATTCACATATTTAATATGACTAAAAGAGCATTACACCTCCAGAAAAACTTGAAGGCCTTATAACTATAGTTATAAAGAATATTCAGCGAAATATTTATCCCGAAAACCTATTACTTGCTATGTTACCTACAATATATCTATCGATCAGAGAACTAGCATTGCCGAAAATATTAAAGGCGAGAAAAGAATCAAAATGTTCGAGATTACGGGAATTAAAGCTTCCACAACTAAATACTGAAGCATTACGTTTGTACCAGTTAATTCACTGGGCGACAGAAAAGGTGACTGAACCACCTATGACTATGAAATACGATGACAGAAATTACCGATATGATTTCTTCGGGTGACCATTTCCTATACTTCCAAAAATTTCCGTGTCACACCCAAGCAGTGGAACGATGTGTAAAACTGGTTATAACCAGTATACTGAATCTTCAGTCTCGGTTTGTGAATCAGAAGCAAGAAATGGTTTCATCAGAACAAGAATTAAAGTCAGAAAATAATTACCAAATTTTGATACCAAATGTCAGTATTTTCGCGAAAAAGAAGATCTCATTTCTACCAATAAACACTCCTGAAGTTACTTAAAGCATATGATTTACTATTAAATATGTTTACATTTCACGTTAATTTTACTAAAATAAACTTTTTATTTATAAATAATGCTATTTTTATTACTTTGATTAAAGTAATATTTTTTTAGAATTTTCAAAACTTCGAGACAGATGCGCCACCTCAAGATATTAAAAAATTGGAATATTTTTTCGATATTTATTCATTTTACGCCTTTAGTCAACAATTAATAATATAGGAAAAATCAATTAATAAATTTAAAAAAATTCACTCCACCCTAATGCACAGGGCCTGCATCAGACTCGGACGTCCGATCAGATATCGGATCGTAGGTTTGCGATATGGTCGTACAAAACTATAGTTATTTAGGCGTCAGATAGTCGGATCCGACAATCGTTTCAGACAATCGGATCTAAAAGTAGCAAATGTGCGGCCGCCCTTAGGGATAGTTGTGTGCCATTGGGTCCTGTTTGGCTTTAAGAACTTTTTAAGGAGCCTTATTGATATATGTAAAATAGTTTTAAAATGTAAGTATTATGTTTTAAATTCAAAACTTGTTGGCTTTTTAGCAAACCTTGGTTTTTCATTACTTAGGTTGAGTTGGTTCATAAAAAAGAATAATTTGGTTATTAGGCCTTGTGACAATACAAATTAAGCAAAAAAAAATGCAAAATGCACACTAGTTATAAACTTGTTAGTGTTCTAAAATATATTTGTAAAAACTTATAATTTATATTTCAAATGTTAAATCTTATAAATTTGTTAGCCTAAACATTAGTTTGTAACCAAGGTTTACTATAATTATTATAGTCAATAATTCTCTTTTGGATGCATTTTGCTACATAATAGCCCCATAAATTTTTTTGAAAAACGTGTTTTTAAATATATTTAGATACCTATGTAAAAGAGAAAAATTCAACCAAAAAGAATGCAACCTCGAATGTAAATGGTCCAGACCATTTAAAAAAATTAATCTTTTTTAATGTTTAAGGTTACTTCTTTTAAAAGCTAGAATTTTTTAAATTTAAATTTCATCAGTGTTAATGTCTGTTATATTATTGTTTTACTAAAAATTGCCCAATATATTTTTGCTTTAAATTTTATGTTTGTTAATTAAATTATTTTTAAAAGGAGTTGGAAAATGGAAGCCATGGGATACCAACCTAAGAGCATAAACCTTAATTACACAAATGCAACACAACCTACAAGTTTGAATCTATTGTACACCAACTGGAGGACATAAACCCTACTTACGTGAAATTCAATGCAAGAAAGAAGACATTCTTGCAAGATGCAGTTCTACTGCACTAGTTGCATATTTTATCCAATACTATAAACTATAATGAATCTTTGCTATTGAATACACTAAATTCAATAGTGATACTTTCACATGTAACATTTTTGTACTGCATTTTGTAATATCTTAAAGTCAAATGATACCTATGCATATTCTTATTTTTGTAAAGAAATATTAATGTCATATTAAAAAAAATACCAAACAGTTAGGTAGGTATAGGTACTTTATTATTAGTTTATTTTTGTAAAAGTAACTTTTTATTATTAAATTTGTAAGGTTTAAACCTACAATTGTATTTTTACTCTTCAAGGAAACGACCTTTAATAATTGTTTATTGATTTATTTTCAGTTTAAAATCGTTATAAAATCCGTAGTATCCAAATAATTTTTAAATAAACAAATCATGCGTCATTTTTGTTATGATTCATATGTCACGTGACGTGTTGACTTCTCAGAAGTTCTGTCAAAATATTTTGCTTTTTGTTTGTAATGGTGGAGTTGTGTTTTTCTTCTAATCTGCGGTTTCAAAAAATGACTTATTTTAGAAAGATGGTCACTTTAACATATGTATACCCAGTTTTTAAGTTTGACACACATTGCAAATAAAGGGATTATTTATAATTTATTATCTATGATTATTATTCATTATCTATGATTACTTCGTTGCAAAACCGGAGATTTATTCGATTGCCATTTTCATAAAATAAATACAAAATACAAAATGTTATACCATTGATCAACTCGAGTTACTCAATGGTTATACCCTAAGACCCTGTCTTAGGTTATACCTTAATCGGTCTTCAATCTTAGAATTTGAATTTAAATTAATGATTTCTGTACCAACTTTAATAGATATGGTATAGATGGCTCCACAATAATTTAAAAACATATACAGTCCGTTCAGGCTAAGTTGAGCGCTTTGGTGGGGGATCATGTGGCAGTTAATTAAATTAAACATCGAATCGTCGCGAGATTTCGGTAACAAGAAGATGATTTATCAGTGCCGCGGCTTGCCGTTTGTTCGTATAGAGCGGCTACCGAAATACATGTATTTAATTGTGCCTGAACATAGAGATGATGGACGGGGTGACATTCCTTAGACCGCTCAACTTAGCCTGAACGGACAGTACTTACCACACGGTGGTAAGTATATGTTTAAAAATATACGTGTACGACTGGTCATATAATGTCTATAAAGTAAAACATTTTTACTAAAAATGTATTAAAAAAACATCAAGCGGAGCGTACAAAAATGGGACCATAAGGTCCTAAAGGGTTAAATAAAATATTTACAGACTCTGTAATACAGAGTATACCTGTGTAAAATGAAAAAGTATATAGGGTTGTTGGTACACTGAGAAAAAAATGGGACAAATAAGCTGTGTAGCTAATACTTTTAATAATAGTGAATATATTGTTTATTACCTCTAAATAGTCGAATAATAACGATAAATATACTTTAGTAAAACTTTATGTGTCGGGAATAAAAATATATTTAGGATAAATAAACTGCAGGGTACATGTACCTACCCTTGTCCCATATTTAAATATTTTTTTATTTGATAGCAATAAACTTTTTTCTCAGTGTATTGTCCCAAGGAAAACCAACCTTAAGGTTTAAAGTTTTCATTTTAACCCTGAATTTCGGGACTACAATGTAAACTTTAAAACTATATATGACCCAACCCAACACATGTGTTTTAAAGTTGAAGGGGAGTCTCTTAGACTCCATGTCCATCCCATCAGGATGTTTCTAGGATAACTTGGGATGAACCTCATACATTCTGGGAACATCCTTAGGTCGTTTTTAGTATGTTATATTTTATATTCCTAAATGACTTTTAGAAAGGTTTGAAATAAATCGAAAATTTTCAAAATAAGTTTTATTTTGAAAGGACACAGTTTATGGAGACAGGACACAGTTTATGGAGACAAACATGCCTGCAGGCACCAATACCATTACTACTTAAAGCTTGCAGCACGTTATTTCTTAACGAATACAATACTGTAACTGTAA